GGATAGTCCAGGGCTTCTTACTTATTCCTTGGAGAAAGGCCAGGAGATCTACCACCCTGCTGTTTTTGTAGCCTCATTTGTTGTCATACCAGGAAATGAGCTGTACAAAGTTGTCATTTACATTTACATGTCATTACAAAGTAATGCCAGCATCATAGGTGGAAGAGTTTCACTAGATTGTCTGCTCCTCAGTGTAGCCCAGAATGCCCGTTCTTCTACTTCCTGCTTCACCACCTTCTTGATGTCATCATACTTGACAGTTTTCTCCAGGTGACATGTCAGATCCATGATGAACACATTGGGAGTAAGCATATGGAAGGCCATGCCAGTGTGTTTCCTGTTCAGCTCTGGGGTGACCTTGTCCACAGCCCTTGGCAGTGCCAGTGGAAGCAGGAATAATGTTCTGGGAAGCCCCACAGTCATCACATCACAGCTTCCCAAAGGGGCTATCTACAATCTTCTTATTGACAGTGACGGCATGGATTGTGGTCATGAGTCCTTCCACAATCCCAAAGTTGACATGGATGACCTTGGCTGGGGCAGGAGGGAGGGGATGCTAAACAGTTGGTGGTGCAGGAAGCATTTCTATCGATCTTGAGTGAATTGTAATAATTCTCATGGTTCACACCCATCACAAACATTGAGGCATCAGCAGAAGGGGCAGAGAGGATGACCTTTGTGACTTCATCCTTCAAGTGGGCCCCAGTCATCTCCAGGGTGGTGAAGATACCAGTAGTGTCTGTAGTGTACTTGGCACCAGCTTCACCCATTTATTGTTGGCAAGATCTCATTCCTGGAAGATGGAGATGGCTTTCCTACTGATAACAAGGTTCTAGTTCTCAGCCTTGACTGTACAGTTGCATTTGTAGTGGGTAGAATCATACTGGAACATGTAGACTATGTATTTGAGGTCAGTGAAGGCATCACTATCTATTTTGCTAGAGCTGTGGTTACCAATGGCTACTGAAGACAGGCTTGGTAATATGGCACCCAATATGGCCAAATCTAATCATTCTAACTTTCACTATTGTGTCTCAGGATGAGGCTCTCTTTGGAAAGAGGAGGAGCAGAGAGACATTTTTTTTTTTCAAGAAGTTTGATCACAATATACTGTGGTGATGGACAATGCTTTGGCCAGAGGACATGGATCTTTAAGTGAAAATCTCAGGGCCAGCTATGGGATATTTCCTTATATGGTATTGGCCAGAGGAGCTCTAAAGCCTCTTCCAAACAATACAGGCTATAGTTGTTGCTCTTACTAGATGGAAATACTCTATTGTTGAATACACAATACAGTTTGGTTATAGGACATAGAGAAATCAAGCTGGACTTCTCTGGAACTGATCTGAAAACTATCTCCCAGAGGTTCTTCCCAGTGCCAAAAGGTTCTATGGAGGTTACTGGGGGGAAAAAGTCATGAATGATATTACCAACAGTGAACCCTGAATGCTGCTTCATTACTGACTTCCTAGGCAAGATGTATAATGCAATAGTGGCATAAATATTATGGGGATGACCAGCCACTTTGTGATTGGCTCTGAGGTTGGCTCCACAAGAATGAGTTAATGCAGTGATTCTCAATGTGTGGGTTGCGACCCCACTGGCAGTCGAATGACCCTTTCAGAGGGGTTGCCCAAGACCATCAGAAAACACAAGTACTTACATTACAATTCATAACAGTAGCAAAATTACAGTTACAAAGTAGCAACGACGATTTTATGGTTGGAGTCACCACAACATGAGTCAATGCATTAGGAAGGTTAATGAATTAATGCCTAGCACTGCAAACTAGTGAAAAGCCCATGGTTGGGGAGGACCTGAGCTGTAGTGGGGCAACCTACTCCTGTTGTTTTGTTAAACAGAACTGCTGTCAATCTGCCTCCTAAATATTTGTTTATACCCATATATTAGTGCTGCTCTCAACCTTGGCCAGAAAAGTTTCCCTTTGCAGCTGGCAGCAGTCAATGCAGAGACGTATAATTAGTCAAAAGTACTAAAGTGACTGCTGGGCGCTTGGCCCTAAATAGGACATCTATATCAACCCCAGAAAGCTCCAGGAGCATCAAGGAACAGGGAAGCCAGAGGATGGAGTGCTGTGAAATACTATCTTCTGGGCATGATATGGAACTGACGGCAGCTACAGTGACCCTGGAAAGACCAAGCCAGGCAATAATTCCAACCTTGTTGGGGGAAGGATGCATGAGGCCTTAGTTGAGGAACTATTGTCTTCTGGAAAGAGAGGGAGTCATTTTTCTTTAGGGATGTGGCTACTGGTAGACTGCTCACGTTTATGAAGGCAGTGCTAATTGGACTCAGTAAGCTATATTAAAAAGAAGACATGAATGTAGGATAGCCATTTAGTAAGGTGCCCTAGGAGAAGTGGGAGGGGAGCGTTAGGGGTAGGTATGATCAAAATGCTTTGTATTTGTAGAAACTTGTCAAAAAAAGTATTAAAAATACAGAGGAAAGAAGGGCAGACTTCATAGTTTCAGCTACTTCTGTCTTCAGTGTGAGCTTTGGAACTGTAGTGGGCATTAAAAAACACTCTCTTTTTAAGCCATTATTTCTGGACTTAAGAAATGTACATTTTAGGCTCAGGATGGAGCTCAATTGCTTGCTAAGCATGCATGAGGTTCTGGGTTGGATCCCTAGGACCACACAAACACAGCATGTTAGTGTACTTCCACATTTCTATCAATTACAAAGTAGAGGCAGGAAGATCAAAAATTCAGGGTCATCTTAGGCTATCTAGGGAGTTCAAAGTTACCCTGAACTTGCCCCCACACCTCCCAAAAGCACATTTATAACAGAATGCATAGCTGTTGCTACTGGATGTTAGTAATTTTTCCCAAGGGTTTAACTCTTTGTTAGAAAGGAATGTTCTAGTTATAAATTTGTTTTGAAGTTCTTATTACTACAGAAAATAATTTTATGGTCACTCATATAGCAAATTAGAGGGCAAGATAAAGTCTGTATTTTCAACTATTGTTATTTTACTTGCTCTGGTTTTAGCAATCAAGAAATATTCAAGCAATAAGACAACCATAGGGCCTGATTCATCAAATCCCTGAAAGAATTGAGGGCAGTTGGTTCTAAAGCAAATACACTCTTCCATTTCAGAACTGTTTGTGGCGACTCTTAATTTTTGGCCAGCTCAAAATGTGTGCAGAACTACATGAGATTACTGAGGCATCTTGAAGACCAATTTGGGATTTTGTTGCATAATACCATCACATTCTGAGCAGGGCTTGAGAACTGGAAATCTTGGAGAGAGTTTAAAGAGCCACAATGATTATTAACCCTGACAAGTTGTAGAAATAGGCAGATAATTATAGGATGTACTTAATAGGCAGAAATATAGAGTAGTTTATAGGAAGAGAAAAAGAAAACATAAATGTAAGTGAGAAGGCTTGAGTTTGTGAAAAAATGTGGGAATCAGTGCACACTAAAACATTACTCATCCTACAGTTGCTTCCTTTTTAATAAAAAATATCTCCAAACACTGAATAGTACACAGAGGTTATTGTATTACGAAAAAAGGTGAACATCTAGGTGTTTTTCTATTTACCAAGGAAGCATTCCTGTCAGATTCTTCAGGTGCTGGGGATAAAGTGGGGAAAAGGACAAGATCTCCCCCTTTAGTTTATGAATGACTATCAGTCGTTTTTGGTATGTTATAGCTAACTTCTAATATCCCCAAATAGCCGAGCTTCTGGAGGAAGGGGTCACATTTTAACATTTTGGATTTGTTTCGGTGATTAACTGGGCAATCTGTAAACAAGTCTTACCGGAGGAGGTTAAGAACTGATAATGCCCACTTCTCTGACCATCTAAATCACGGTTCGAAATCCCCAATTTTCACTTCAAGCCTAATAAGATTTTCAAACCAAATAGGAGCAGACCTGTTTGCAACACAATGCTTTGTGTGTACAAGGTATGGTGGAAAGGATTCGAAACGTACATCGCCTATCTGGCGAGGGTGTCCCGACCTGGCGGACAGCCCTTCCTGCTTTTCTCTTTTAGCCCAAAGACAAACGCTGGGAGGCCTCGGTGGTGGCCGGGGCGCGGCCGGCTCGCTAGCACCTAGTCGCTCGGGCAGTAGCGGGTGCGGCTCCCGCCCACTCGGAGCAGCTCGGCGCGGCCTCGGCGTCCCCCAGAGGAAAGGCTGGGCGCAGCAGTCGGCCTCGGCGTCGCCCATCCCGTTCGGGCGCCACGGCTTTCGCGCGCCGGGTGGGCACAGCGCTGGGCACGCCGAGCGCCTGGGGGCCTCTTTCGGGACCTGTAGGGCCCGCCGTCCCGGTAGCTCGGTCTCCGGTCCCGCAGGCCTCGTAGAGCGCGCTCCAGCTCGGGCTGCGACTCCAGCCCCGCCCCTCCGGCTCGCCCCGCCTCCCGGGCAATCTCCTCGCGCTCGCCGCCCGGCACGCGCGCTGCGCCCTGCCGCCGCTCCCGCCGCCACCGCCGCCGAGCGTTTCTCCGCCGCGCTTGGCTTCCAGCTTCGGTCCGGAACCGGAAGTGTAGGGGGCGGGGCCGGTGGAGGCCAGGAGACCGAAAACGCGGCCGAGCCGGGAGCCGGGAGCCGGAGCCACAGCTTGGACCAGAACTTGGCCGCCTACTGCACCGCCGTCTCCCGCCGCCGTCTCCCACCGCCGCCTCGCGCCGCCACTGCCGCAAGCTCGGCTACCGTGGCCCGCGGACGTTGGGTGTCCGGGTTGAAGGTCGGTCCGGACGTCGGAGCAGCTAGGCTCCCGGACCGTCCGGGCGGCTGCGGGCGCCGCCGCCGCCGCCGCCTGGTCGCCTCAGCCAGGCGTTTTGTTCGCAGAGACGCGAGAGGCGAGGGGAGCTGACAGTGATTTTGACAGTGATTTCAACCCGCTTTTGTTGTTGTTGGCTTTCCGTTGTTTGGTTTCGTGTTGTGCGTGTGTGTGGCGGTTTTTTTTCCCCCCGTGGTACATTTTTTTTTAATTGTTGTGCCTTTTTTTCAATCCCTTGAACGTTTTTGATCCAACCCCCCTACCCCCCCCCCCCGCCTCGGGGCTTCCGAATATGTTTTATGACGGTTGATTTTACACCAGGAGGTTTGTCTCTGAGGAAGACCCAGGGAACTGGATATCTAGCGAGAACTTCCTACGGCTTCCCCGGCGCCTCGGGAAAATGGGAGCTGCTGCAAAGTTGGCGTTCGCCGTCTTTCTTATCTCCTGCTCTTCAGGTAGGTGGAGGAGCCGGCGCGGCGGGGCTGTGGCCGGCTGCGGTCTCGGCTGGGCAGCTCTCGGGCGGCCGAGGCTTTCCCGCGCCCGACCCCGCAGCCCTGAGAATCAGGAAACCTCCATGAATTCCTCTTGTTTTGGGTTGGTTTGGCGAACTGATAGATTGAGTGCTGTGTTGTTGTGGAAGTGAGAAAGTCATGGTTTGTGGCCCTAACACTCGATGACAGCACTGGTTGAGTTGCTGTTAAAGCCGCAAATACCACAAGTGAAAATTTATGTAAAGGTTGAGACCCAAAAGCAGTATTCCGAAATGTCATTTAGCCTAAGCTGTTCCAAAACAAGGACCGGTTTTGGTTGTCATCTAATTAGTGCTTCCCCGGTGAATATCGAGACATAGATCAAGTGAGTTGGTGTTTAATTTTGACTGTGAGAAACAATGCATCCTATCAGCAATTTAATCTAGGTCTCCTCTCACGTCTTCTCCAACTTCATTGTCCAGTAGTGTAAAAATAGTTTTAGTTGTATGAGTATTAACCATAACCCAGTGCATAAGAGGTATGCTGCTGTGTGTTGGTGGTGTGTGCTGGCTGTCACCCACCATTTGTGTGCTCTTTTCAGGCGTAGATTCTGCTTACCTACCGATTACTTATTTTAAACGCTTTGTATCGATGCATTGTTTTCAGTTTAGAACACGGCATGTGAAATTGTGCTCACTGTTAAATATGCTGTTCTTGTGAGATGTATTCTAGCTCAAGGTTAGGAGAATACTCTGGCCATTTTATATCTGCAAATTTGGTTATGTGAGAACGCTGTATGGTTGCAACCAGTGGTTGGAAAAGGCTAGGCTTTTGTACTTGAAATTCTGGAAATGCATACATCTAGCTTGGAAAAGGTGTGCAGATCTACTTGACAGGAGAGTTAGTTCGAGGAATGAAATAGTTTAAAAGTCACAATGAATGCATTCATTATAAATATTCAGTGTATATTTGCTAGGTTGTGGTAAAGAATAGGGGTGGGGGGCACAAATTGACAGATTTCCTGGCTGTGTCGTTACCTCGTATGTCATAGGGAAATTAGAAGGTGGTAGTCTTTCCTTTGTGTACCTCTCTGTTGTGTGTGTCCGTCTTCCCCACCCCACCCCCCTTTTAATAGAATCTTTTGTAATGTATAGAATTTTGCTGAATGGTACATTTCCTTGTGGTTAATAAATGGATAAAGTCTAGTCTTATGTCTGTAGTGGTATTGATCAGTTCCGGGTGGGCTGAATGTGTTGTGAAATGGCGATCATTGCCAGAGATTAACCAAAAGAATCATGTCTGTTTAAATGGAAGAAGGAACATGCTTAAGGCAGGCAGACAGTTCTTTTTGTGCTCGGTTTGGAGAGCAAGCTAAACAATGGTGTCTGAAATGGATGAAGGCTTTGATTATGTTAAACATCTTGCTTTTGCGAAGTGACTTAACCCTGTAGTTTTTCTCTCTCATAGTACTCTATCTTTTTTTTTTTTTTTTTTTTTTTTTTTTTTTCCTCCCTGACCCTATATGTCTGGCTGGTGAACTCCTGTTCAGATCTCTCTCTCTCTCCTTTCTCCTTCCTCTCTCTCTCTCTCTCTCTCTCTCTCTCTCTCTCTCTCTCTCTCTCTCTCTCTCTCTCTCTCTCTTTCTCTCTCTCTCTCTTCCTCTTCTAATCTGCCCTTGAGGAGGAGTGGCATCATGGCCATGGATCAAGGGATTGTAGACATTATTCTTTGCCAAACCCACCTGAGTCTCATTAATTGATGAAGGAGGTTATTCTTGAGCAGCCCCAAGGTATCACTCGTGGAAAGGCAGGCTGACACTACACATCTTACAGCTTCCTCTGCTTGACCTGGGAGTAAAAACAATTGAGCGGTAGTTCAGTTTACGATTATTTTCACTGGGCTTGTAGGTTAATAGCAAAAAATTTGAAATAAGAATTTTGTTGTTAGAGAACATAATGTAGGTAATCCATTGAAATAATTTGAAAGCTATACTCCATATTGATACTTTTTTTTTTTTGCTTAAAATGTCTGATTTTTTTTTAAAGGACTTTGTTACATGTTAAATGCACTCTGAAAAAGTGTGTATGTGTATGTGCGTGTGTATTCTAATTGATTTTTTTCTGTGTAATGTGTAATCTGGCACTGGAAACAGAGGGTGGCTATTTTTATTAGAATTAAGTAATTTACTAAATTACCAGTTTGTTTCTGGGTATCTGACTTTTAAAAAAAATCAAATTGGAAACAGTAGTAAGGAATGTGTTTATTCTAGGTGTTCAGGAAAGACATGCTTGCCTGTGTGTGTGTGTGTGTGTGTGTGTGTGTGTGTTTTGTGGTCTTTGGTTTTTTTCAGCTTCCATCCCATGGTATGTGTTATGGAGACTGATTATGCAGCCTATTCCTGTAGGATATGGCCAAGTGTATAATTTCCTCCTTGCTCTCATTCCAGGAGAAACATTTCAAGTTTTGCCCTCATCCTGGAATGCCTTCAGATTCCCTATGATTTTTAATTTTTTTATTCCTCTTTATACTTCTCCAGAGTCTGTTTCAAAACACAAATCTGCTTCTTACTTTTTTGAAACATCATGGTTAATTTGCGTCTTTTCTCACAATTTGTTAAAATGTGAGGATGAATTTAACTTTGCCCAGTATTGAGGTTTATTCCACTTAGGATGCTAAAGTTCCTGTGGTATATGAGTAGTTCTGAAGTTGAGGATTCTTTGGATTGTGTGTGAACTAGGAACAGTATGGTCAGTATACTCACAAAAGAAGAGCAGAGATACAGTATTGATAGTTAGGTAACACTGTGGTTGGAGGGAGAGCTGAGAGTTCAGCCTAGGACTTCTGAATGTTGGCTAGCAAGTGATAGATAATAAATACCTTTTGTTTTGTGTTTTTAGGAAAGGTTTATTTTTACTAGCATTATTTATGTGTAGGTGTGTCTTCTGCATGTGTGTATGTGCAAGTGAATGCATGGAGGTCAGAGGTGTTAAGTCATTTGGAATTAGTTATGAGCTGCCTATGTGGGTGCTGGGAACTGAATTCTGATCCTCAGAAGAGTAGCAAATATTAAGTGCCAAGTCATCTCTCCAGCCCTAGAGCTTTGTTTCTTAAAGGTAGAAATCTCTTACATGTATATGATCAAATCCAAATATGATATGCCAAATGAAGAAACAAAACAACAAATTTCTTCCTCCCCCATTCTGTTTTGTAATTTTTTTTTTTTTCCTGTTTATGATCTGAGCTAGGGGTTCACATGGTAGAGTGATTTTTGTCTCAGAAGACATATGGAGAAATTTTTGTTTGTCAAAACTGGGGAGGGGATGCTACTGGCACCTAGTGGGGGGAGGATAGGGATGCTGCATAGGACAGCTACCACAACAAAGAATCATCCAGCTCAAAATGTCAGCAGTGTTCAGATCGAGAATTTTTATTATTTTAAATTTTAAGCTTTAAAAGCATTAATATGGAGGGCCAGAGAGGTGGCTCAGTGGTTAACAGCACTGGTTGCTCTTCCAGAGGTCTTGAGTTCAATTCCCAGCAACCACTTGGTAGCTCACAACCATCCATAATGGAGTGTGATGCCCTCTTCTGTTGTGTAGACCTACAGGAATACAGAACTCTCATACACATAAATAAATCATTTTTAAAAAGATATTAATATGTTGGTGAAAAAGCATCTAAGTTTTACTAGTGCAGGGTGTTGGTGATCTCCAGGTGACTCTGTTGTAGTTTTCATTACCTTTTAAGTTTAGACTATGGTTGAAAAGTTCTAGTTGCATGTATTATTTCATCATAATATATACTTAATTGTGAATAAATTCTCCAGTGACCCATTCTTACTGTTCATGAAGACTGATGCTCATGGATACGATGAATGATTGTTCAGGTTATCAGACTGAGCCATATATGTTTTTGATCTGGTATTCTCTTTCATAATACTCACCCTAGGAGCTGCATGGCTGTGGGTTGTGTGCTAATCTTGGTGCTTGAAAGTTTTGTATCATGCAAACAGCATAAATGCATTCCCTAAATGATTTCAATAAAGGATATATCTTGTTTACCTAATATTTTAAAAATGATTTTTTGATTGTATCATTTTTTTTTGAAAATAATTAGTAGGCTTTTGGTTATGATTATTCATTTAGGACAGATAAAGTAATATTCAATGATCCCTTGAAGACCTTTGTTCTTTTTAAGGTTAAATCTTGATTGTAATTAATAAATACTGGGTTTGAACTCTGGGTGTAGGAAAGTTAATCTACTCAGGCAACATGAGAATCACAGTGCAACTCAAAATTGAGAATCTAGACTGATACTAGATAGTCTTTTTTAAAAAAGTCATTTTTATTATTTTTAATTGTATGTTAGAATGTGTGTCTGCATGTGGGTATGTGTATGTGAGTTGGAGTTACAAGCTGTTGGCTTGATGTGGGTGCTAGGAACAGAATACTGATCCTCTGAAAGAGCAGCCAGTACTGTTAACTACTGAGCTATCTCTCTAGCTCCCTCATAGTCGTTCCCCACTGTATTTTCATTTGCTGCATTTCGAACTACCATGCATTCATAGTGTACCTGGTTTGAATTTCAGATTGCTCTTATTTTTTAATTTTTGTTATTATTAATTTTTTTCCAATGTTCAAGCTTTTTCTTTACTTTTCGCTGCCTTGGAAAAAAATCTCTTATTCATTTGTTGTCTGTTTAAGCCAAAATTTGACCAGACCTGTGAGTGGATTTATTGCCACTGATGGGCCCACATTAGACTTCCTCTGCGGTAGATTTAATTCTGTTAGGTTATAACAGTCATGTCTAGACAGAACATTGATTTAAAATTGACTATTGAAGATGAAAGTTCCAGGAATAGAGTATAGAGGAAGAATGAAAGAAAACTCTTGTAGATAGTAGTTGACATTCTGTCCTTATTTACCAGATTCCTTGGTCACTTTCATATATACTCAATACATTTAGTGGTTAGGCTTTGTTTAATA